ACGAAACCCCCAGCCCCTCTGCACCCACACCCCCCACCCCCCTGCAGAACCACGGTCCCCTCTGGGGTGGGACTGGCCGGGGATGGGGGACACGCAGTGCTGGGTGGGCTGTGCTCCCCAGGGCACGATGCATTTGGGAGCTGGGGAAGGGAAAACTGACCCCAGCCCCCAGCGTCCAACAAACCCACGGCTACGGACACAGCAGACGAGGGGGAGGATTGGAGGGCAGCAAGCCAGCGTGCTGGAGAAAGCTAGCTTGGCAGGGCGAGGACCAGGGCAGGGAGAAAGCCAGGCCTAAAGGAGAGAGGGACATAGGGCCAGATGCTGCGGGCTCTGGAAACCACCGCCAGAGCGAGTGATTCAGCCAAAACACATAGAAAATTAGCAGCAGAGCCAAGAATAAGGACACAGCTCCATCAGGGCATCCAGCAATGGGACACTGCCTTGGATACAGCAGGAAGGACAAGGAAAGGGTCACACACCGTGGGGGTAACTCCCACTGGGTGAGCTGCCAGCCCAGGCAGCCGGGCCGAGGGCAGCTCGCGGCCACCATCACAGCGACTGAAGCTCGGATTTGTACAGCAGTTTCTGCAGCGAGACCTTATTCTGTAAAGGGCTTTGCACATGCCGGGGTCGCTCCTTCAGCCACGTCCCTGCAGCAGGGAGCTGGGCAGTGACAGCAGCGTGGCTCCTGGGGAAGGCACTGCTGAGGTCTCCCAGCAGGAAAACAAAAGCAGTTTATTAATTACAAGTCTAATAAATTCAGTCTCTAATAAGTACTGGGTCACCGATTCCCAGTGCTCTGGCTAAAACGTGCCCCATATCTGCCCGAGGCATCCTCCATTAGCAAACCATGACTATCATCAACAGAATTATTCAAAATAAAGTGAGATATGAGATGCGGAGGAGGTGTTGGTTGGATGGCTTGTTTGAAGTCAATGGAGCCATGTGCTCTGGCTTGTTGAGCTCTGTTTTAATTTATAGAAATAACAGAAGCCGATGCAGATGTGTAAGTTTTGATTTCTCCAACCTGAACATGGTGGAACCTAGTAGAGCAAAGCCCCAGTAAGATCCAGGCTAGTGGAAACCTGCCTCCCAGTAGGATCCCAGCTGGCAGCCAGAGCATACTGGTTATTTGTCTTTGAGGGACTGCACCTCCGCGTATGTTCTCTCCCACAAAATTACAGTAATACTCAAATTATAGCAAATTCAGCATGTTTTCCTGGGCTCATCTCTCAGGCCCCTAAGGAAGAGCTGGCTGGTGCTGCAAAGATGCGTCTTTCAGTGTCAGTGTATCCTTCCTTGCAGCTGGAGCTCTTAAATCAACCCCCAAAGGTATTTAGCACCTCCCGTCTGTATTTGAGGAAGAATTGAAGGCAGCACATCCATCAGGGGATGGGCAGTGAGGAGAGAGCAGGGGTTTGTTCAGCAGAATGGGTTCTACACTGGAAAAATGCAGCCGAAAAAGCGATGCCCTCTGGGACCCCCGGCCCCCCACAGCCCCAGGGGGGAGGAGGAGGAGGCGGCGGCGGCTTCCCCGGGATGGAGCTAATCAGCAGGGAATTGCCCATAAAGTCAGAAAGCTCTAAGAGGCAGGTTAGACCCTGCTGTTCATCATGTTCTGTCAGCGTACATTATTTTAATACAGTAATTGGCTGTTCATCATTTTTCTTGTCTCCATATTGTTAAAAATACCCCAAACAAAGCAGACCTTCCTTTTAATCCAGACAGCCAACCTGCTGTATTAGCTGCCTGGGCACCGTGCGGGATTATTTGAATACAACACAAATAAAGGCTGCAGCACATCCAGCCAATGACATAATTAACCATTACAATAAGAGGCCCCCAGCAGCCACGCATATAATCACTTAGAAATACACATTTTGGGCTTCAGTTTCTTCCCTCTCCACCCCAGGTTTCCTTTGCTTCTATGCAAATGTATTTGGGCTAAAACACTCGCATGGATTTGCCATTGCTGCGTGTGTCTTACGGCAGGTTTTGCCATGGGGAAGCACGTGCACGATGCCAGTGCTCACACCAGGAGCGTTTCCCACCAGCACGCCAGGGCCAGGCTGCAAGAGGGCACCAGGGACGCCCCCCAGAACCCCAGCTCAGCTCTCCTACCTCGTGAGCAGCCGTCCGGAATTCCTTCCCCAAAACACCAATCTCCCTGCTAATGGAAAAAGGTGATGAAATGGAAACTCCTTCCCCCTGCCAGGAGCTTGGTGTGGCTGTCCCAGGCAGGACAATTCACACTTTACATCTCCTCAGCAGCCTCCAAAACTTGGAGCAGAACTTTGCCAAATTCTGTAACAGTTGTTCTTGGAGCTTTGGTTTGGGGTAACACCATCCAGCACCATCTCACCTTTTCCAGGTCAGCATCACCTCAACCTCCCCGCTGAGGTGAGCTCTCTCCTCCCAGAGGGGCAGGATCCTCCCCTGCAGCCACACCTGGGCTGGGTGAGGCCAGGTGGGATCTCACACATCATGATGTTAGGCAGCTGTGCCAGGCTTTGCAGGGCTGGAGCTTCACCCAGGCGGAGCAGCTCTGCCGACCCTCGTGCAGCCTTTCACACCGTGTCCAAAGCCAGCGTGGAAACATGGAGCTCCGTGGACACCCGAGCCGGCAGCTTTTAGAATGCACTCAAGGCCAAATCTTATTAGTGAGGAGGGATTTAAACTTCATTAATGGCCCAGACCAGAAGCAATTCTTTACAGTGGCTCTCCCTGCTCTGTCAGCGGTGCAGCGGGGTGATGAGGGCCCGACTCCTTTCAGCTACAAGCATTTAATTCCAGCAGGTGACATCTGCAGGGAACCTTTCTTCTGCTCTTTTCCCTTCCAGCAAAAGTACCTTGAAGGCACTTAGGACATTATACAATAAAAAGCCTGTTCCTGTCACCTCAGGCCATGAACTGATAGGAAACCTCAGGTTTGCCTCCCCTCCCACTCCCTCTACTTTACGCTGAATTATTCAGACAGCAAATCTGCCCAGCAAACAGCCCGTGAGCAGCCACCCCTCAAGCCCACACGTGGCCGTAGTCTGGTGTCCAACAGCTGTCAACCAACTTTAATTGTATACCAAGCTGTAAGAAATGTTTTGGGCACTGGAAAGGAAAGTCTGCACCAGGCAGAAATTGTATCGTTTGCCCGAGAAAAGAGGAGAGCGAGCAGGTAGATGCAACAAACTGGCGACACGATGCTGAAGTTGCTGTGACTTGTGTGGGAGGTGACAGATGCTCCGCGCCAGCTGCCTCGGCGCTTGCTATTTTTTGTCACTTCGTGGGCAGCGCGGCCGGGGGGAGGCTCGGGGAGATGCCGGAGTGTGGCAGAGATGTGCAGCAGCCCTGGCACACTGCGCAGGGGAACCCGCTGCCGCCCCCGTGCAGCTGCCAAAGGTTGGGAACCACTTGCTAGAGAGACTTTTGAGATTTTTCTCTTTTCCATGAGAGGGTGTTTGCGGGACAGATTGGGCCCTGGATAGTAAAACCGGGATCAGCAGCCTGGGGTTGGGACCCACGGCTCCTGTGCAGGGGGGATGCAGCCTTGGGACGGCCGGCTCCAACCGGGTCCTGCGATGTGGCAGGGCTCAGCTCGTGCTCCTACAACATCTACTCCTTATCCCAGCAGCATCATTGTTATTTTTGTGTCTTTCAAACACAGGAAAAGAGGGAAAACTCATGGCACCAAAGAACACCAGCCGATCTCCTCTCCTGGGAGGGTTTTCACATCTTGCTTGCACCACGACTAAATTAAAGGAATTAACTCCTGTGGGCTGTTGGAGCTGAAGCTCCGTTTGCTGTTTCTCCCGCACATCCCTATGCCTGGAGCCGCTGCTCGGGAGGAAGCGCAAGGAGAGGTGCAACATTATTTTTATCTCCACACCCACATGCTGTGCGAAAGCTTAAAAAAAAAAAAAAAAAAAAAAAAAAAA